CCCGGCATTTGTGCCCTGTGCCCGGGTGCCCCACACAGTCCCCGTGGTCACGGGACACAGGGCCTCGTCGCTGAGGGATGGCCAAGGAGACTGGAAAAGGCTGGGAGAGGAGGGTGCCCAGAAGGGGACACCTCCCACAACACTCACATCCCCTCCAGGGAAAGACCAGACCTCTGTGAATCAGTCCTGGGAGAGTTTTGCCACCCCCCCCCCCCCCCCGGGCCTGTCCCGCCGGGACGGCCCCGGACCCGCCCCCGCTCGTTCCCGCCGGGCCGGGCCCACCGTGCCCCGCCGGGCCGGGCCCACCGGCGCCGGTACCTTCTTGCCGCCCTTGTTGTAGGCGAAGGCGGGGAGCCCCGAGCGCGGCGGCACCGAGAGCAGCATTTTCCCGAGCGCGAGGGGCCGGGACCGGGCGTGACGTCACACCGGGAGCCAGCCTGGAATCCGGGCGGGCCCCGCCGCGCCGGGTCCTAGCGCCGGTCCCCGCCCGGGGCTGCCCGCGCTGCCCCGCTGCTGCCCGTTACCCCCCGGTGCTGCCCCCGGTGCTGCCCCTTCTGCAGTGTCACCCCCCGGTGCTGCCCGTTCTCCTCCGGTGTCGCCCCCGGTGCTGCCCGTGTTCCCCCGGTCCTGCCCGTTACGCCCCGCTGTCACCCCCGGTGCTGCCCCTTCTGCAGTGTCACCCCCCGGTGCTGCCCGTTCTTCCCCGGTGTCACCCCCCCGGTGCTGTCCGTTCTCCCCCGGTGCTGCCCGTTCTCCCCCGGTGTCACCCCCCCGGTGCTGTCCGTTCTCCCCCGGTGCTGCCCGTTCTCCCCCGGTGTCACCCCCCCGGTGCTGCCCGTTCTCTCCCGGTGTTCCCCGTCCTCCCCCCTGCCCCTCCCCCCCCCCCGGTGGCCCCCCCCCCCCCAGTGACCGCCGTCAGCCCCACGACAGCCACGAACCCCCCGGGGGTCTCACCCCCCTCCCACAAATGAGGCCTCCCCCGTGAGACGCCCCCAGACCACCCGGGACACCGGGACAACACCGGGGCAACACCGGGGCCACACGGGGGGACACGGCGGGGGGGATCCCGCACCCATCCTCTGCCTCAGCGGCCTCAACCGGGAGTAGGGGTTCGCTCTCACGAATCCCCGTCCCCCCCTCCGCACCGGGGGGCCGTCACAGACTCCCCCACTCCGGTACGGCGCGGCTCCTTTAAGTGAAGCCCCGCCCACCGCCGCCATTACCCCTTGGCCCCGCCTCCCCGCCCGCACCGTGGGCGCGGCCATTTTGGAGGCGCTAGTCACGTGGTCGGACACCACACCCCGCCCGCCGCCATATTGGCGTCTTTCCTCCGTCACGTGACTACGACAGGCCTCGCCCCTTTCTGAGGAGGCGCTGGGGGCCGCCATCTTAGAGTCGGGAAAGGGGGAATTTGGGGGGCACCTGATGGGTCTGTGGGGGCACCTGAGGGGTCTGTGGGGCGAGACTGGGGCTCCTAGCGGGCTCTGGGGGCTTGCAGAGCAGGATTGAGGGGTTCTGTAGAGTAGGATGGGAGGGTTCTGGGGGCACCCTGGGGGTCTCTGGGGCATCCTGAGGGCACCTGAGTGTCTATAGGGCAGGACTGGGGGATCCTGAGGGGGGACTTTGGGGCAGGTTGGGGTATCTCGGGGTACATAAGGCAGGATTGGGGTTGCTGGGGGCACTTTGGGGGAGTCTGTGGGGCAGAAAGGGGCACTGGGGGTGCCTGAGGGGGTCTATGGGCAGGATTGTGGGGGGTCACAGGACACCTGGGGGGGCTCTGTGGGGCATCTTGGGGGCACCTGAGCTGTGGAACGGGCCTGGGAGTCATTGGGGGGCTTGTGGGGCAGCTGGAGGGTCTGTAGGGCACATTGGGGGGGATCATAGGGCACCTGGGGGGGTCTACAAGACAAGATTGGGGGGCTTGGGGACACCTGTGGGGGTCCCAGGGGGTCTGTGAGGTGACAGAACCCCAGGGGCTGAACGGGGGTCCCAGCCCTGCTGTGCCCACCCTGGCATGAGCTCAGTCAGGGGGACAGGGACAGCACGGCGGGGAGGGGGCTCATGGTCTGGGGGACCCCCTCCATTTCTCCCCTTGTCCCGCTCGGTGTCCCCCCGAATGTCCCCTCTCTGTGTCCCCCCCGTGACTGGCCACATGTCCCACCACAGTGTCCCCAAATTGTCCCCACAGTGTCTCCGCTGGGGTGTTCCCCACATGTCCCCCTTTGAGTGCCCCCCAGTTGTTCCTCCCCACCGTCTCCCCTCCCCATTGTCCCCCCAGAACAGCCCTTCCCACCCCCCAGGGCTGTCCCCACGGTGTCCCCCCGGTGTCGCCCACATATCCCTCCTATATTCCCCCTAAACCCCCACACCCCCCAGCGATGTCTCCCTGGTGTCCCCCAAATATCCCCCACCTATAAACCCCCACACCTCCCCACCCAGCCCTTTGTGGCCGCGGATTGTTCTGGCTTTGCCGGGCTCAGCAGCGCCGGGGCCCCCCCGTGCTGAGCCAGGGCTGACTCACCCCACGTGCGGGGCCGCTGCTGAGCCGGCAGAGCCGCGGCCCGGGGGGGCACCGGGGCCGTTCCCCCCACCCCCGATCACTCCTACCGCCCCCACGGGGATCGGCACGGTGGGGTCAGCCCCGGCCCCGAGCTTGTCCCGGGGGTGTGACCCCCCTGGGACACCCCTGTCCCCTGGTTTGTGTCAGGTGTGTGACCCCCCCCCAGGACAGCCCTGTCCCCCCCAGCTCATGTCAGGTGTGTGACCCCCAGGGACACCCCTGTCCCCAGTCCTTGTCCCAGGTGTGTGACCCACCAGAGACACCCCTGTCCCCAATTCTTGTCCTGAGTGTGTGACACCCCCCCCCCCCCCCCCCCCCGGGACTGTTCTGTCCCCAATTTTTGTCCCAGGTGTGTGACCTCCCAGGGACAGCCCTAATTCTTGTCCCAGGTGTGTGACCCATCCTGGTCCCCCTGCCAGGGACAGCCCTGTGCCCATCACAATCCACATGTGCCACCCCTCCTGTTGCCCCACCAGGGACCCTGTCCCCACTGGTGTGTGGCATTGCCACCCCCCTGCCAGGGCACAGCCCCGTGTTCATCTCAGGTGTGTCACCCTGTCCGCTGTGACCCCCTTGGTGCCCCCAGGACCCTGTCCCTGTGCTCATCCCAGGTGTGTCACCCTGTCCCCTGTGTGACACCCCCCAGGACCCTGTCCCTGTGCTCATCCCAGGTGTGTCACCCTGTCCGCTGTGACCCCCTCAGCCCCTCCCTGAGGGTCCCTGTGCTCATCCCAGGTGTGTCACCCTGTCCGCTGTGACCCACCACAGGACCCTGTCCCTGTGCTCATCCCAGGTGTGTCACCCTGTCCCCTGTGTGACACCCCCACAGGACCCTGTCCCTGTGCTCATCCCAGGTGTGTCACCCTGTCCCCTGTGACCCCCCACAGGACCCTGTCCCTGTGCTCATCCCAGGTGTGTCACCCTGTCCCCTGTGACACCCCCCAGGACCCTGTCCCTGTGCTCATCCCAGGTGTGTCACCCTGTCCCCTGTGTGACACCCCCCAGGACCCTGTCCCTGTGCTCATCCCAGGTGTGTCACCCTGTCCCCTGTGACCCCCCACAGGACCCTGTCCCTGTGCTCATCCCAGGTGTGTCACCCTGTCCCCTGTGTGACACCCCCCAGGATCCTGTCCCTGTGCTCATCCCAGGTGTGTCACCCTGTCCCCTGTGACCCCCTCAGCCCCTCCCTGAGGGTCCCTGTGCTCATCCCAGGTGTGTCACCCTGTCCTCTGTGACCCACCACAGGACCCTGTCCCTGTGCTCATCCCAGGTGTGTCACCCTGTCCCCTGTGACCCCCCCCAGGACCCTGTCCCTGTGCTCATCCCGGACGTGTCACCCTGTCCCCTGTGACACCCCCCAGGACCCTGTCCCTATGCTCATCCCAGGTGTGTCACCCTGTCCCCTGTGACCCACCACAGGACCCTGTCCCTGTGCTCATCCCAGGTGTGTCACCCTGTCCCCTGTGACCCCCCACAGGACCCTGTCCCTGTGCTCATCCCAGGTGTGTCACCCTGTCCCCTGTGACCCCCTCAGCCCCTCCCTGAGGGTCCCTGTGCTCATCCCAGGTGTTCAACCCCCCCTCATCCCCCCCAGCCTTTCATCCCAGCCTTTCATCTCTGGTTGTCCTGGCAACACCCCAAAGGGTCCCGGGGGTTGCCATGGCACCCAGGGATGCTTCAGGCCAAGGACCCCCGCAGCCCCCTCCCAAAATCCTGCCCCACCCTCAGCACCTCGAGTGTACCCTGTGCCAAGGGGGTGGCAGTGCTGGGGGGTGACAGGAAAACGGGGGGGTGACAGGGACAGGGACAGAGGTGGCAGTGCCAGGGGGTAGGAGGTGCCCCCACCCCGGGTGTGCTCTGCGCTGCCCTCTCCCACAGCTGCACCATGGCCATCGGGGAGGTAAGACCCTGCGAGCGGCCCCGACCCCCCCAGCCCCCCCAAAACCACTGCCCCAGAGTCCCTCCCTGCCAGGGGGGGTGGGTGAGCAGCCCCTAACTCATGGGGACTCCCCAAGCCTGTCACTTCAGTGCCCAGCCCATCGCCCTGGCACAGGGGTCTCTGTGTGCCCCTCACCGTGCTCCTAGCCCTGTCATGGCTGCTGTCCCCCTCTTTGTCCCTGTGACCCCCTGTGGCCCCATTGCCAGGACATCCTGTCACCACAGTGCCCAGGGACTGGGGGGTCCCATCCCTGAGGTACCCCATCCCCGTGGTACCTGGGGCATCCTGTTTGCATGGCACCCCAATGCCCCAGTAACCCCCAGTGCAGTGCCCAGGTGCTGAGGGGTCCCATTCCTGAGGTGCCCCATCCCAAAAACTGGGGATGCCCCATCCCAAAAACTGGGGCATCCTGTTACCAGGGCACCCCATCACCAGTGTACCCATCACCAAGGGACCCCCCCCCACTGTGGTACCCAGGTGCTGGGAGGGGTCCCCTCATGAAAGTCCCCCCTCACCCTGGTACCCAACCATTGGGGCATCCTGTTGCCATGGCACCCCATCCCTGGGCACCCCACCCCTGAGATACCCCATCCCCAAAGCCCCCCGGCCCCCATGTCATCCCCTCTCTGTGCCACCCGCTCCTGGCAGTGCCCGTGGGGTGACCCCAGGCCCCGTTGTCCCCCCAGGAGCTGCGCAGCGGCCGCTTCTGGCGGGAGGTTCTGGCGGAGCTGGCGGCGACCTTCATCTTCGTGGGGGTGGTCCTGGGGGCTTCGGCAGCCCCGGGGCCGCTGGCACCGGCCCTGGCAGGGGGGTTGGTGGCCGGGGGGCTCGTCTGCACCCTCGGGGGGCCCCAGGCCAACCCCGCGCTGACGCTGGCCCTGCTGTGCACCCGCAAGCTGAGCGCCCTGCGCGGGGCCGCGGGGGTCCTGGCCCAGTGCGCGGGGGCCACGCTGGCCTCTGCTGCTGCCCGTGCAGCGCTGCAGGACGACACCGGCCTCGTCACCAGGGTGAGTGCTGCCCCCGTCCCTGTCCCTGTCCCCATCCCCTGGCGCTGCACAGGTGTCCCTCCCTGCTGCAGGTGAGCGCGGTGGGGACAGCGGGGACAGCGCTGGCCTGGGAGACATTCGCCACCTTCCAGCTGGCGCTGGCCGCCTTCGCCGCCGCTGAGCACGCGGCCCCGCAGGCCGGGCTGGCCCTGGGCAGCGCCGTGGCCGCCGGGGCCCTGGCTGCAGTAAGGACCCCCCGTGTCCCACCCACCCAGGGGGTCCCCACCCCATCACCCCTGACCCTCCGTGTCCCACAGGGGCCGTTCTCGGGGGGCAGCATGAACCCCGCGCGCTCGCTGGGGCCGGCCGTCGTCACTGGTCTCTGGGATGATCACTGGGTGAGTTGGGGGCACCCTTGGGCTCCCCAAGAGTCCTCAAGTAAGGGGGGGGGTCCCCCGGCTGCAGCGTGTGACCGCTGTGGTCCCCTCCCCACCCCAGGACAGCGGTTCCTGGTCTTCTCTTAGGTGGATCCCACTGGAACAGGTGAACACCAGTTGTGTCCCCCAGGGTCCTCCTCATGGTGTCACCATCATGGGACCGATGTGTCCCCCCTATTGCCATCCTTGGGAGAGGCCCCATCCCCTTGGGATTGGCCCCCTACCCCAAACAAGTGACACCCCCTCCCCATGGCTGCCCTCACCCCTGGGGCAGGTTCCTCTGCTCAGTCCCCACACCTGGGGTGGGGTCCCCTGTCCCCCCCATCCCCGGGCAGCCCCCACCCCTGTGTCCCCCCGTCCCTGGGACACCCCAAAACTCCGTTCCTCTCCAGGTTTACTGGCTGGGGCCGGTGCTGGGCGCGGTGCTGGCCGGGCTCTCCTACGAGTTCATCCTGGCTCCCGGAGCGTCCCGGGAGAAGCTGAGCGCCTGCCTCGCCTGCCGGGACGTGGCTCTGGTGGAGACCCCCAGCCTGTCCCCCTCCTCGGTGGCCCCCCCAGCCGAGCAGGGCACTGCCTGAGCCCCCCCCGCTCCACCGCAGCCCCCCCCCCGATCCTCCACACCCTGACACCGGATCCTCGCCGCCTCCAGCACCTTCCGTGGGGCACCCACAGCATGGGGGGCTTCATGCCCCCTCCCCTTTTACTGTCCTCTCCCCCGTGGGGGGGGGATTAAAGGTGTGTCGGGGTCGCAGGTGGGTGCGGAGCGATGCTGTGAAGGGACTGGGGGGGGTCTCGACCACCTCCCCGCGCTCTCGGTGTGCGGCGGCACCGCCACACCGGGGCTGCGGGCGGGTGCGCCCTCCCCGCGGCCCCCCGGCGAGGGCGGGGGCCGGGACCCCCCGTCAGCCCGTCCCGTGCCGGGGAGCTGAGCGCAGCAAAGCCCTTTGTGGTGGCCTCTGCAGCCCCGGCAGATTCCGGCGGGCGCCAATGGCCGGGCCGAGCCCTAATCCCCCCGGCCGGGGACTCAGCGCCCGCTAAGCCGGGCTGAATAAACCCTCCCGCAGACAACAGCACCGGGGAGGGGGGGGACACCCCGCGGCCCCCAGCGGGGCCCACCCCGCGCCCCCCCCGCAGGATGGGGGCGGCTCCCAGCGGGGGTTGCCCCAAAGTGTCCCCAAGACATTTGGGAGGGGGTGGGAGGTGTGTCAGTGGGGTCCCCTAAACCCAACTGAGGGCACCAATGGGTCAGAGCCCCCCCCTCCCCAGGAAACCCCAGCGATGGGGGCGGCGCAGCTCTGGGGGGTCCCCCACTATCGGGGGGTGCCCGGGGGGCTCGGGTAGGGGGGGTTCCTCGCCGCGTGTCACCTGTCCCGTGCCCCGGGCAGCGAAGCGGTTAACGGGGGGTGGCGGAGGTGGGATCCCACCCCCGGGGCCGGCCCGGGGGGGCCTTATAAAGGTGGGCACGGGCGGCCCCCGGGGAGGGGAGCGGGGCCGTGGAGGGCAGCGGGGCCAGGCCATGCGGGAGCTGCGCTCGTCCGCCTTCTGGAGGGCCGTCCTGGCCGAGTTCCTGGGCAGCCTCCTCTATGCCCTGCTGGGGCTGGGGGCTTCCCTGCGCTGGGCCCCGGGCCCCCCCAGCGTTGTGGGGGCCGCCTTGGCCTTCGGGTTGGCCCAGACCACCCTGGTGCAGGCTCTGGGCCATGTCAGCGGGGGTCACGTCAACCCGGCCATCACGCTGGCCTTCCTGATGGCCTCGCAGCTCTCCCTGCCCCGTGCCCTGGGCTACCTGCTGGCCCAGGTGTTGGGCATGCTGGCCGGAGCCGGGGTGCTCTACGGGGTGACCCCCGGCCCCGTCCGTGGCACCCTCGGCCTCAGCGCGGTGAGCACCGGGGGGATCGGGGGGCTGGGGGTGTCTGCGGGGCTGGGGGACCGTGGGGTGGGGGCTGGAATGAGGGTTTGGAGGGATGGGGGGCTCCAGGAGGTGTTTGGAGGTCTGAGGTACTTTGGGGGTGTAGTGAGGATTTGGAAGGATGGGGGGAGTCTGAGGGTTGTTTTGAGATCTGGGGTACCATGGGGCTGAAATGGGGGGATGAGGGGTTCAGAGAGGTTTGGGGGAGTTGGGGGGGTCCAGGAGGTGGTTTGGGGTAATTGGGGGGCCCAGGAGGTGTTTTGGGGTACCACGGTGCTGCAGTGGGGGGATGAGGGGTTTGAAGAGGTTTGGGGGAGTTGGGGGGTCCAGGAGGTGGTTTGGGGGAATTTGGGGAGGTCCAGGAGGTGGTTTGGGGTACCATGGGGCTGAAATGGGGGGATGAGGGTTTCGAAGAGGTTTGGGGGAGTTGGGGGGATCCAGGAGGTGTTTTGGGGTAATTGGGGGGCCCAGGAGGTGTTTTGGGGTACCACGGGGCTGCAGTGGGGGGATGAGGGGTTCAGCGGTGTTTGAGGGGTCTGACGATGGATCAGGGGGGTCCAGAAGATGTTTTGGGGTTTGGATTGATGTGGGTCAGCAATGGGGGCTGGGCATCCCGGAGGAATTTGAGGATGAGGAAGGGTTTGTGGTACAGTGGGATTCCGGGGTGTGGAAGGATAACGAAGGAGGATTTGGGGTGCTGAGGGAGAATGCGGGAACAACTCTGCGGGGTGCTGAGCCCTCTCCCCGCGCAGCTGCACCCCGGCGTGGGCCCGGGCCAGGGCACGGTGGTGGAGCTGCTCCTGACCGCCCAGTTCGTCCTCTGCGTCTTCGCCAGCTTCGACGACCGTCAAGACGGGCGCCCGGCCATGGCCGCCGTGCCCGTCGGCTTCTCCCTCGCCCTCGGCCATCTCTTCGGGGTAAGGGCGGCCGCGGAGACCCCCGTGCTGGGAAGGGGTTGGGGGGCAGCTGTGCAGCCCCCCACTGCTCCATCCCCCCGCAGATCCACTACACGGGCGCCAGCATGAACCCCGCTCGCTCCTTCGCCCCCGCCGTCATCACCCGCAACTTCGCCAACCACTGGGTAAGTGGGGGGGGGGGGGCGGGGCCCCCCAAACCCCCCCCGGGCCCCCCCCAGCCCCCCCCCCCTTTCACCCCCAAACCCGCCCCGGGCCCCCCCCAGTCCCTCCCTGCTTATCCCTGTCCTGCCGCAGCCGCTGTGTCCCCGCTGAAGGCGGGCGGCTGCCGGTGTCACCCCGGTGACAGCAGCACCCCGAGGTGCTGGGTACCCCCCGACATCCCGGGGAGCGGGAGACCGGTCCCGCCCCCCGATATCCCGGGGATGGGGACACGCGGCCGTCCCCCGCTCACCGGGAGGCCCCGACTGGGCCCGGGCATCAGCGGGGTGGGTGCCGTGCCCCGGAGGGCGGGGGGCCGGGGGTCCCCCGGTGCCGGTGCCCACGCCGCCCCCCCGCAGGTGTACTGGGCGGGCCCGCTGCTGGGCGCGGCGCTGGGCGCGGTGCTCTACGAGTTCGCGCTGTGCCCGCGGCCCCGCAGCCTGGCCGAGCGCCTGGCCGCCCTCAAGGGAGAGCCGCCCGCCCCCACCGCCGTCACCACCGCCGCCAGGCCGAGTCCTCCCGGCCGCCAGGGGGCGCCGCTGCGGGGGCGGGGCCCCACGAAGGCCACGCCCCCGGCGTGGGCGGCGATCCAATCGGAGAAGGCGCTGACGCGGGTGTAGACCCCCGGCCGGGCCGGGACCCCGCACCCCTCCCCCCACGAGACGATCCCGGCCAGGACCCAGCGGCCGGAGGGGGAGGGGCAGACCAGGGGACCCCCGGAGTCACCCTGGAAACGGACACGGGGGGCGGGGTCACCTGGGGTCACGTGGGGGGAGGGGCCAGGGGT